GGGCGGGATATAATTAGCTGGATAATACTGAAAGGCCGGGAATCCGTAAGGAGACATTGGGTGCGAAGGGGTATTCGTGGGCAATATCTGCGCGTAGTTGGGACGAGTGGGAATCGAATTTGGTGTCATGGGATAGAGGCGATGATTTAATGCTGGTATTGGAGTCTGCTGAGCTACGGATGGTCGATAATATGGGGAACTGTGATTCGGGGTTGCTTGTGGTGTCTCAAATGGAGCGGGAGGTCGAACACGTGTATTGTAATACGAAGGACCCGGGGAGTGGAATGTGCCAGCTGTCAGAGCAGGGGGATATCGCACGGCCAAGGAAGGAGGGTTGCGGACAGGCACGTGCGACTTTGACAATGAAATGGACTGCCTGTTAGAAACCGGGGTTTCAGAGCGCAATGGGAGAGCTCCAGGGGAGGAAAACACGTCATCTGTAACGAAATTTTGGCGGGAGTTGGGTGTACGAGGAGTGGAAATGGAATTTATTTGCTGGCCGCGCGGAGTGCGTTGGTTAGGTGAAGCCTGAGCATGATTTTGCGAAGCGATAGGGTGTCGTGCGGGGGTAAAATTAGGCTGTGGAGGGGCAGGTACGGTCACGCTCCCTGCGCGGGTTCGTTTGTGGGTTCGGTGCTGCGATTTGGGGGTCATTGACACGAAGATCGTCCGCCAATCAGAAATGATCTCAGCAACGTCACGAAAGTCCTCGTCCGTACCAAAATCCCAATGCTTGACCACAGCTAAAATCTGCTTCTTCCCTATCACTGGCTCCGATAGAAACTTGCCAGATGAAGATACTAGAGCCTCCAAGGTCCGTGGAGGCAATGCAACTGCGGGCGAGAGAAATTTGCTGCTCCCACGCTTCTTGTGCCGCAAAATCCGCCACTGCACAAGACGCTCTCGCAGTGTGTCTTTGTCCGCTTTCGAAACCGACTGGCCCTTTGCAAGTGGCTCGAAGCCAAGAGTGGCCGTGGTCTCGTCAGATGCGGCAGAGTCAGGTGATGCCGGTCTCGACTCTGAATCATCTTCCTCTGGCTCCGCAATTGGATTGACGAACTCCGCTGCAAATTGGCGGAGACGGTGATCACGAGCACTCGATGGCCGAAACCAAGCAAGGCGTGCCGGATTGCATATGCTGCAACAGTGATCCGCGGGCGGTGATTTCCCAGGAAGGTCAATCTCAGTCCAGTGCAATTCATACGCCGAGTTTTGCGACACCTGCCCGACGAATTTGGGAGCGGCCGCATCCAAGCTAGTATATGTCGTCAATCCCGTACGTGGCCGGAAAACTTTGACAATAATCCGATGAGAACAGCCTAGAATAATTTATTCAATCTCGGGAAATACACCAATGAAGTAGACTTGCGCTGTTCAAGAGTGGCCGCTGTCCCGGAATTGATGAAGCCCTCGAGTGTAGGCTCGATTCGGGACCGAGATGTGGTATGTGTTTTGGGCTCGAGTAGTACCTTGCCCTGACCCGTGAGACGCTGAACTGCAGGCCCTGTGAGTCCAGCATCTGACGGAGTCGGACGAAATGCCCATGGTTGTACCAGCAGGATACAGGTCCCAATTGTACCCGGGCCGCGTCCAGTGCGGCCCCAGCGTTGGACTAAAACCGCCAGAGATTTGGGACAGCCAAATACAACGGTAATTTTGACGTCGTGGACATTACCTCCCATGCCAGCCGCATCGGTGCAGCAGATAATGCGATACCTGCCGCTCATGAACCCCTCCCAGCAATCCTTCTTTGCATCCTCGGAAATGCCGGATGAAAAGGAATATACGCAATCGCGTAAGTGCTCGGGAAGTGCAGATCTGAGTGTGTTGATACCCTTCTCGCAGTCCGATTCGGAGTCGAAATAAAAGAGCATTTTGTCGATTGATTCACGCGGCGTCTGCGCATCCAGTGTCTCGGGAAGTAGATTCAAGATGTCAAGTACTGGGTTTGCCGGATTCGAGATGGTCCGTGTCAAATACAAGAGATTGTGCCGGTCGCACCCAACATCGAGGCCCCAGAACGGACGGTTTCCGAAGCCGAGTGAGTTCCAAATTGTGTCGAATGTCGGGGTAGATGCAGTCGCAGTGCATGCAATGATCGGGACCTCCTGCCCGGTGTAGCTGCGGAGCATCTCCAGTTTCTTGTACTCGGGACGAAACTCGTCACCCCATTCGTGGATACAATGCGCCTCATCCACTACAATTGCGGTAATCCGAGCCCGGAATTTGGGATCCTTCCAGAGGCGAATGAAACTATCGGAGCAGGCCATCTCAGGCGAGATATACACGAGCTGGGCTGTCGTTCGAGCTTCCTTCCAAAGGCTAGAAGTTTTGGCGTTGTCCTCATTGATCAGAATGGCATTACAGCCAGTTGCGGAACTTAGGGCGCGGCCCATTTTTATTTTTGTTTAGATGTTTCGGATAATTCAGCTCTACTGAGCTCAGTTCTTCACCAATTCCCTTGAAACTATGATCAATAGATTTGCCTTGCGATTTCGGAGGGAGTGACGTTCGAAAATATGTTAGAAGCGTGGGAATTGCCTTTTTCGGCAAATTTTGAGGCATCTTCTCCTATCAGCTCTAGCATTAAATATACTGATCCGATTGACTTAGTCTTTGGATATATCATACTTACATGTATTACCTAGGATGTGTCATGCCCAGATAAGGATTAAAATGTTTTGTTCACATCTGGCATGGGACTTAAAACTGATTGAAATTGAATACTGTAAGGCTTTTGAATAATGAGGTATTTTGACGATCTGGGCACGACACATCCTAGGTAATGCATGGAAGTATGATATATCCAAAAACTATGTCAATCGGATCAGTATATTTAATGTTAGAGCTGATAGGAGAAGATGCCTCAAAATTTGCCGAAAAAGGCAATTCCCACGCTTCTAACATATTTTCGAACGTCACTCCCTCCGAAATCGCAAGGCAAATCTATTGATCATAGTTTCAAGGGAATCGGTGAAGAACTGAGCTCAGTAGAGCTGAAATATCCGAAACATCTAAATAAAAATAAAAATGGGCCGCGCCCTAAGTTCCGCAACTGGCTGTAATGCCTTTTTTTCGTGCTTGGTCCACCTGTCATGCATGTTAACTGGCTGGAATGCGACTGATAGATCCTTGTGTTGCGTACCTGGTCTCTCTCCAGGGCCTTCAACGGACTGACCACAAGCACCACTTTTTCTTTCCACCCAAGACCGCGAGCCCTTCAAAGATCAGGCTCTTGCCATAGCCCGTGCCCGCCAAAAAAATACTGTCGAAGCCTCGGAGGATCCTACTGATGAGGTAGACCTGCCACAGCTTGGGAACGAAGGTCAGCGCGAGCAGTGTAACCAGCTGCGCGGAGATTTCGGTGTATGTAAGCTTCGCTGGAGTAGTGCCCTGCAAACGGGTGGCGCTTTTGCATGAGCGGCGTCTCGGGGTACCTGGGGACCTAGGAGGGGGCTTGGGGAAGTGTTTTCGAGGCGTCTGAGGCTGCGGTGTGGCCATCGAGGGAGAGCGAAAAAAAGTTAATGAGCTTTTGCCGATCGTTCCCAAAAAGGAAATAGGATCGACGGCTTGGCGCAATTGAGCTTTTGCCTTCACTAAGCTTCCTCAGAGCGAAATTGACCAATTAAATATTGCAAGAGCATTTCTAGATGAAAATCAAGAGACTTTGCCAACTTAAATATTTAATTTTGTCCCCGGGGAAAGCAGAATGGGGCAGTTGAGAAAAGTGAAAAGGGCTCACTTCGGGGGCATTCAGAACCTTTTATAAGCTTGCTATTGGAAATCTGAGTCGGCCAAAGTCTAAATTGATTGAAAATGAAAGATCTTATCGAAACCGCCCGGCGGTTCACGCGCTTTTGAACGCGCTAGGACGCGACGAAGGTCCTGCCCGATTCTCTTATCTTGGCACAAGCCTCTTCTGTTGTTTGACCAAAAACTCAGCCCGCATCAACAAACAATGGAACGGCAGGCTTGATCCGAACCTAGTACGGCAGTGTGGAGCCGCTCTTAATTGACAAACAGAGGTAAGCAAAAATCAAGCATCAACGATTTACGAAACCCCTCTATAGTTTCCAAAACGGCTGTAACCAATTTGCAAGCTTTGGGGCTCGTTTTCATCCCATGGTTCTTGCAAATGACGGTGGCCTATTACGTAGGCGCAAATGTCCCTCCTTTGTATCCTGGACCCTCCAAGAGATTCTCAGCCTGATCACGAGTGGCACACTCCGGCCACCTACATGACGAACCACCCCTGCCTGGGATGGATCTGGAACTTGACAGGGCTATTCAGGATAGCTACCTGCTTATCTTCCTAGGTTTAATATGGCTTTGAACTGTCTGACTTCCCAGCCACGGTGGGGTATGACCCAAAATCTGCAAATTTATTCACGTGTAAAGCTGGATTTAATTGGAGGGGTTATTGGTGTGTAGGGGACATCCTTTGCTGATATTTATGTCCATATGGATCTTATAGAGCCATATGTACCTTAACTTGAAGTGTAGACTCGGTCTATTTGCATTTGGCTTTGGACAGAGGTGCACAGACACAATGGTGGCAGACTTCAATTCAGATGTGACAGTGATTTCATGAACACTGTATACATACTTTCAGGCCCCGTGAAGCTCCACTAAAGCCTTGTCTCATACAGTTGACCACAGGCAGTTGGCTCCTGTTCTTATGTGGCGCTGGATTCCTGATACCCGATTAGGCGAAATTAAATGGTGACCCCACCGCTGATCTTTTGATGACTGGATAGATTAGCAAGACATTTCCATGCGCTGTGAGCCATCACATTGTGATAGCTCCTGACATGACCTCAAAACCCCAAACTCTGAGAACGTGGCCAGATTTTCAAAAGCAACCTTACCCAGACATGGCTCGACGGAGAATCAAACTCCGTACCCTCCGAAAACAAAACACCTATGTAGGAATTCGGAATGTGTTACTGCTACGCCACCAAGCCGTCCTCGGACAACAAAAGAAATATTTTTAACGCAAATGGCTTGACGAAGAATCGAACTCCGGACTTTCCGTCGAACTATACGAACATTGCATATAGGAACACGGAGTGTGTTACCGTTATGCCACCAAGCCATTCAAGAGTTGAACTCAAATGACCACCAAGGACCAACTCCGAGTTAAAAATGTTATCCTGACCCAACCCATGGCTTGACGGAGAATCGAACTCTGGACTTTCCGTCAAACAATATGTGAATGTTCCATATAGTTACAGGAGCGCATTACCATTACACCACCAAGCCATTCAAGAGTCAAACTCAAATGACCACCAAGGAGCAACTCCGAGTTAAAAATGTTATCCTGACCCAACCAATGTCTTGACGGAGAATTGAACTCCGAACTGTTCTGTAGAACAACATGGAGCGTGTTACCACCAAGCCAAGAATTGAATGTCCAAAAAAGCCAAATAGACCATCGCTGCAAAAAAGAAGGGTTTCCGTCAGAATGGCTTGACAGAGAATTGAACTCCGGACTTTCTGTCAGACAATATACAAATGCTATATAACACCACGGAGCACGTTACCATTATGCCACCAAGCCGTACGAATTGAACGACCGACTAAGACTATCGCCGTGAAAAAGAAAGGTTTCCATCATAATGGCTCAGCGGAGAATCAAACTCCAAACCCTCCGTAAAAGCATACCGCGAGCTACATAGGAATGCGGAGTGCATTACCATTACGCCACTGAACCGTTCAAATGTGCTGTATCTTCTTACGGTCCTCGATAGACAAAAAACGCAAGACCCATCAGAGATTCGAACTCCGGTCCCTCCATTATTCAGTTTCCCGCCAGCTACGCGAACAGAGTGCATCACCACTACACCACCAGACCATGTGTACGACCAATACGGAGGTCCAATAAGTGGCACACAAAAAAGGGGAACAGAGGAATGGCTTGATGGAGGATCAAACTCCGGACTTCCTGCAAGAGGCGCTTGTGCAAGAACCAACACAGGATGTGTTACAATTATGCCATTGAGTTGTGAATGCATACAGCCCAGAAGGATGGAACAGGAACTCCAGGTGATCAAAAAGTGGATAGCACAAGAGAAGGGCTCGACAGAGGATTGAACTCCGGATCTCTCCATAAGTCAAACACTGGGGTGAAAGGATATGGAGTGCATTTGCCACTACACTATCGAGCCGTCACAGGTGGAAGCCGGATAGGAGGAGAGTTAGGATTGGAAATGGAGTGTCCAGAGCTAGGGTCAGCGAATCCGGACCGCGGATTCGGTGCCTGGCTGAGAACAGTGCGGGCATAGGTTCACGGAGTCCGAAGTGAGTCACAGACAAACTCCGGGCGGAGAAGTGTGTGAGCGAGCGGGTTTGGGAGACAAAGGAACAACTCTGGCACAGCCTTGGGCTGGGGGTATAAATACTACAGCTTGTCTAGCAAAATATCATCTCAGTTTTGGCCCACATTCTCACCTTCTAAGCCTTAGCCAGCTTAGGAGTAGCTAAAACCGCCCAAACATCACCTAGAGGTCACCTGGAGTCGAGTTACACAGTAAATCGACCTCTGGTACTCCCTCGCTGCTGTCAGACAGCAAACGGAGTTTTATTCGGCATAAGTTCAGTGTTGATTATCGAACCTTCTATTCCTCCCCTACATTAGTAGGGCAGTGAAATCTCCCAAGCAGCACAACAAAGTCTTCGGAGTCCATGTGTAGCTGCTAGCTAAGGAAGTTGGCGGTGCAGAGCCCGCAGGAAGTCGCCTTCAGCAAGCAAACGGGTTGAGAAGTAGAGAGAGGAAACTCCGTAGAGGCACAAAGAGGGGTAAAAGGAGGAGGAATTTGCAGGAACAATACCGCGGACACGTAACTCCCCCGGTCTTACAATCTACGACTCAAATATACTTCGGACAACTGTGGTTCATGGTCCAAGAAGCCCTTAAACACCATATTTCACCCCGGACTTAACGAATTGGACCCCGCATCGCCTTCCGGAGTTCCTCCTCTGAGGAAGTGTAGAACAGATTCAACCTCCGTTAACCCGAGAAGGCTAACTAGGCATTGGAGTTCGCTCGGTTCACCCTAGCTAGTAGGATTTTGAACGGACTGTTCAAATCCTTGTACGGATATCCCCACCAATATTAATTTAACCCTCCCTACGTACTTGTCTACGGCAACAGAACAAATTCCCCCTAGAGGACGAGTATTTAAACATAGCCCAGATCTCCCCACCATCTGGCAGTTTAAAGCACCGCAGTCCGCATCACACCGTACTGTCAAGTACCGGTTCCCGACCGGGATTCCGATGGAAATCCAATTAGCACTTGCTATTGACAAAGTGCGAATGAGCAGGACAGAGTGAACAAGAATGCGGTAAGGAAGTCGGAATCCAAACGGAAGACCGAACCCGTAACGATAGAGTTGGAGGGGGCTTGGCTTCAGCTCGTGTGCTGCACCCTTCTCTACGCCCAAGGCCCAATTTCGGAAATAGACGGGAATCCGAGTGAGAGAGGAGTAGGGCAAGTCTTAGTCGATATTCAAACTGAAGTCTAACTACAGACATGGATGGTATTTATACAAAGTATAATAATTAAAGGAGATATAATGTAAGAGTCGGAATAATCGGTATTCCGAGACTTCCGTGACGTATCGAGTCATACTAAATATAGACAAGTCAGGATAAGTCGGATATCATCGGTCGTCCGAGACTCCCGTGATGAGATGAGTCAAAGCATAGCATAGGCATAGGTATGAGTCAAGGCAGCACAAACCAATAGAAGTAAGGGTATTGCGGTAAGGCTGTGTTCGGGTTTATTCAGAATCCGATGTAACTCCGAAATGGACTTGGGAAATGCACGGTACGTGACACGTACATGTTGAGGGGTGTCCGTATGCGTTGACGTGTGCATGCCGGTGGTGCGTTGTGATGCGGACTGCGGTGCTTTAAACTGCCAGATGGCGGGGAGATCCGGGCTATGTTTAAATGCTCGTCCTCTAGGGGGAATTTGTTCTGTCGCGGTAGACAAGTACGTAGGGAGGTTTAAATATTATTGGTGGGGATATCCGTACAAGGATTCGAACAGTTAGTTCAAAATCCTACTAGCTAGGGTGGTCCGAGCGAACTCCGACGCCTAGTTAGCCTTCTCGGGTTAACGGAGATTGAATCTGTTCCACACTTCCTTGGGGAGGACCTTCGGAAGGCGATGCGGGGTCCAATTCGTCAAGTCCAAGGTGAAATATGGATTTGGGGGCTTCCTGGACCACGAACCACAGTCGTCCGAAGTATCTTTGAGTCGTAGATCGTAAGACCGGGGGATTTATGTGTTCGCGATAACGTTCCGGCAATTCCTCCTCCCTTTACCCCTCTTTGCGCCTCTACGGAGTTTCCTCTCTCTACTTCTCACCCGTTCGCTTGCTGAAGGCGACTTCCTGCGGGCTCTGCACCGCCAACTTCCTTAGCTAGCAGCTACACACGAACTCCGAAGACCTCGTTGTGCTGTTTGAGAGATTTCACTGCCCTACTTGCGTAGGGGAGGAATAAACGGTTCGATTTCTCCGGCGCTGAACTTTTTATGCCAAAATATAAACTCCGTTCGCTGTCTGACGGCGGCGGGGGAGTACCGGGGTCGCTTTACTGTGTAACTCGACTCCGGGTGACCTCTAGGTGATGTTCGGGGCGGATATTTAGCTACTCCTAAGCTGGCTAAGGCTTAGAAGGTGAGGATGTGGGCCGAAACTGAGATGATATTTTGGTAGACTAGCTGTAGTATTTATACCCCAGCCCAAGGCTGTGCCGGAGTTGTTCCTTTGTGTCCCATACCTGCTCGCTCGCACGCTCCTCCGCCCCGGAGTTCGCTTATGACTCATTCTAGAACTCCGTGAACCCATACCCTCACCATCTTCAGTCCGACACCGATTCCGCAACCCGGACTTGTTGGCCCTAGTCTCGGACACTCCATGTCCGGTCCTAGCTCTCCTCCTGTCCAGCTTCCGCCTGCAAGGGCTCGATAGTGTAGTGGAAACGCACTCCGTATCCTTTCACCCCAGTGTTTGACTTACGGAGAGTCCGGAGTTTGATCCTCCGTCGAGCCCTTTTCCCGTGTTACCCACCTTTTTTGATTACCCGGAGTCCTCGTTCCATCCTTTCGGGCCGTTTGGTATTCGCGACTCGATGGCGTAACTGTAACGCATCCTGCCATGATTCTTGCACAAGCGCGTCTTTTGCAGGAAGTCCGGAGTTCAATCCTCCGTCGAGCCATCCCTCTTTTCCATTCCTTTTTCGTGCGCCTCTTACCGGACCTTCGCATCGCTTGCACACATGGTCCGGTGGCGTAGTGGTAACGCACTCTGTTCGCGTAGCTGGCGGGAAACTGAAATCATGGAGGGACCGGAGTTTGAATCTCCGACGGGCCTTTATGTTCTTTTTGTCCGTCAAGTAAGAAGATAGGGCGCGTTTTTGAACGGTTCAGTGGCGTAATGGTAACCCACTCCGCATTCCTATGTAGTTCGCGGTATGCTTCACGGAAAGTTCGGAGTTCGATTCTCCGCTGTGCCATTATGAAGAAAACCCTTCTTTTTCATGGCGATAGTTTTTGCTGGTCTTTCGATTCCTACGGCTCGGTGGCGTAATGGTATCGCACTCCGTGATGATGGATTTTTATATCGATTGACAGAAAGTCCAGAGTTCGATTCTCCGTCGAGCCATTCCAACGGAAACCCTTCTTTTTACGGTGATCGTCTTGGCTGGTCATTCAACTCCTACGGCTTGATGGCGTAATGGTAACGCACTCCGTAAATATGCACATTTTTATATCGATTGGCAGAAAGTCCGGAGTTCAATTCTCCGTCAAGCCGTTTGATGGAAACCGTTCTTTTTGCAGCGATCGTCCTGGCCATTCATACGGCTTGTTGGCGTTGTGGTAACGCGCTCCGTTAGCGATATGTAACGTTCACGGAAGGTCCGAAGTTCGATTCTTCATCAAGCCTTTTGACGATAACATTCCTTTTCCCGTTTTTGGTAGTTCGGTCATGGCTTGGTGGCGTAATGGTAACGCGCTCCATGTACCTAACGTTCTCATATCGGTTGATGGAAGGTTCGGAGTTCGATTCTCCGTCAAGCCATGGATTGGGTCCGGATATCATTTTTACGTTGATGGCTTAAGGTGTTGTTCTCGGAGTTCGGTGTTTTGAGGTTACGTCGTCTTGTTGGCGTAGTGGTAATTGTCATTTTTGGTAGTCCGGTCATGGCTTGGTGGCGTAATGGTAACGCGCTCTGTGTACCTAACGTTTTCATATCGGCTGATGGAAGGTTCGGAGTTCGATTCTCCATCAAGCCATGACTTTTTGCTCAGAGTCAGTCCTTTGTGGTCTTGAGTTCGATTCTCGAATGGCCTGTTGGCGTAATGGTAACGCATTCCGTGCACCTATAGCATTCGTATATCGGTTGACGGAAGGTTCGGAGTTCGATTCTCCGTCAAGCCACTAGTTGGGTCCGGATATCATTTTTAGTTGAAGGCTTAAGGTGTTGTTCTCGGAGTTCGGTGTTTTGAGGTCACGTCGGGAGCTATCACAATGTGATGGCTCACAG